ATGCACTGATGTGAGACTTTTCTAAGTTACTCAGACCTCCCCCCACAATGGCCTGATCTCTGACCTCAGTGGGACTGCAGCCACTGCACCCCCTACTTCTCCAAATTAAGACATTCTCCCAGGTATACTTGCCTTCACACTCCCCTGCAGCAGCCACTTCAGTGGCACTGCCTCTGGGAGTCCCTCATCTACTTTCTTTCTGCTCTTTCTCTTTCTGCTCCTAAAGTCCCAGGTCACTGCTAGAGGGATGAACCAGGCAGGCAAATATGAATTCATGCTGTCCAGTTCCAAGTTGGCCCTCGCAGCTGCTCAGCAACCCTTTATTTGTCTCATCCACTCCCTGGCGCTCTCCCGCAGGGCTCTTCAGACCGTCCTCATCTTAAATTCCACTCCTCCTGTTCTACTCTTTCTAACTAATATATAGACTTTCATCAAATGCTTAGAATTTAAAAAAAGTTGTTATAAAACTTTTTTTTGTGTGGAGAATTTACAGCAAAGACAAAAGTAGGCAGAATAGCTTAATCATTTACCAAGCACGCAGAAGGAATACAAATTTCTGGGCAACCTTGTTCCAAGTATCTTTCATTCATTTCCTTTCTCCTATATTATTTTGAAGAAACTCCCAGACAGTGTATCATTCCATACTTAAGAATTTCAGTGTGCACCTCGAAAAATAAAAATCCTAATTGTAAAAAAATCCTAATTCTAATGCATTAGCACATAAAATAAATGACACCCAATACAAATTGGTATCTGTATTTACAAGTTTCACAAATGTAAAAAATATAGCTTTTTTTGGTTTGAATCACTATCCAAATAAAGTTAGACTCTAGCATTGATTGGTGGCCAGATATTATATGTCACCTTTTTCTCTTTTCTTTTTAAATGTTGTATTATCATATATGAATTATACACAGTAATGGGATTCATTGTGACATTTTCATATGTGTATATGATGTGCTTGCCCATATTCACATATCCACACCTATTACTTTATTATCTCCTTCCACTTCTGCTAATCCCCTTCTTTGCTGTCAGCCCCCTTTCTATGCTCATGTTTTTGTTTTTTGTGATCTAGTAAGTTACATTAGGATTGTTTACTGGAGCATGGGCGGCACCTTACCAATGGTTACATCACTGAACAGCATGTTTCTCCTTCTCCCTTCAACTGTTAAATGTATATAAATCCTTAGGAGCCAGGCATGGTGGTGCACGCCTTGAATCCCAGCACTTAGGAGGAAGAGGCAGATGAGTTAGAAGCTAGCCTGGTAAGTTCCAAGACAGCCAGAGCTACAAAATGAGACCCTGTCTCAAGGAAACAAGTCCCCATGGAAGAGTAGGTCCATAAGTCGCTCCCTCCCATGACAGAATGATAGCAGGCCCAACCTCGTGCAGTCATCATGGCTGCTGTGAGTTACAGGAGTGCAGCAGCCATGACATGTCTGGAGGTGAGCATTCGTCTGTCCTCCCTCCATCTTTTCACTCTTTCCACAGTCTTCCCCAGTAATTCCCTGAGCATTGGAGTGTGGGATACAGATGTCCCATGTATGGCGATTGCTCTGCAATCACTTTTTCTTAACACTTTGACTAGTTACGAGTCTCTGAGGTCACTGCTAACCACTGCAAAAAAAGTTCTCTAATCAAAACCAACAGCATTACTATTGTGTGAGCATAAGCACAGTTATTTAGAAGGCATTTGCCCAGTTTGCAAAAGAACAGTAGTAGCTAGCTTCCCTGCTAGGGCCAGGCTTCAAGATCTCCCCAGCCATAGACTTTTGACTAGGTTTATAGGACCATATCTTCCTTTTTTTCCTTTCTTGCAATTGTTTTAAGAATCTTACTGGGGCTGGAAAGATGGCTTGGCAGTTAAGAGCAGAGGCTGCTCTTGCAGAGAACCCAGGTTCGATTCTCAGCACACACTCACAGTGGTAGACAACCACTTCAGTATCTTCAGTTCCAGGGTATCTGTCTTCTACTAGCCTGCATGTGGACTGTGTGTATGTGACACACAGATATACATACATGTGGTAACTCATACACATAAAATAAATATTAAAATAAGAATCTTACTATGTAGCTCAGGCTAATGTTGAACTCACTATTAGTCCAGGGTTGCTTTGAACTTGTTCTCCTTCTGCCTCCATCTCCTGAGTACTGGGGTTAGAAGTGTGCATCATCGCATAAATCTTCTTTTTAACTGTTTCTTTGTAGTTTTGAAGCCTGGATTTTACTGACTGCATGTCTATTATGTAGTTTAACCTGTTCTTTTTACCTCTTTGTATTAACATCTTTATAAAAGCATCATTTTTTTAAATTTTTTGAGACAGGGTTTCTCTGTTTAACAGTCCTGGCTGTCCTGGAACTCACTCTGTAGACCAGGCTGGCCTCAAACTCACAGAGATCCATCTCCCGAGTGCTGTGATTAAATGCATACACCACCATTACCTGGCTAAAAGCATCTTTTATATTCATTGTCCTTCCTGGTTTTAGTGGTGTGGAGAAACTGTCCATATGACAAAGGAAATGGGAGACTGCTCACTCACTGGCTTGTAGAGTGACTCAGGACAGAACTGGGACCTCTTTACTAGGACTAAAACAGATGGTTGGAGTCAAAGCTCAATAAATAGTAACAGAGGTCCAGAAAAGGTAGGGCGTGCGAGGGGCCTTATAGTGTCCAATTTCCACACAGCTGGTATGCGTAGCAGGCCAGGCAAGGAACATTGAGGTTGAAGTCAGAGCTGGAAAAGGAGAAGCTGCCGTTGAGGCAGCAGCTGGGATTATTGCTCAGGGGATTACTCTCCTCAACTCCTCCTGTTTTCTAAATATATCTTCTCTCCCTCTGTGCCTTTGCCCAGGACAAGTCCTGTGTTGGAATTTCTTTCTCTCTTCATGTGTAACAACCAGCACACATTCTTTGTTTCTATCTTTTTACTGATAGGGTCCTATGTAAGGAAGAATAAATGAGAGAAATGGTGATTGCTTTTCCAGCAGGGAACTGGATAGGTAAGAGAAAGAAGGGCTGGAAGTCAGACAGATAGTACTAATTTGTTGTGGACAGAACAGTTAATCTGATCAGAGTATCCAGCAGGGAATCTTTTGAAGTAGGAGTGCGACAGGAATTTGTAGTTTCAGAAGAAGACAGACGGTCTGAAGAGCCCTGCGGGAGAGCGCCAGGGAGTGGATGAGACAAATAAAGGGTTGCTGAGCAGCTGCGAGGGCCAACTTGGAACTGGACAGCATGAATTCATATTTGCCTGCCTGGTTCATCCCTCTAGCAGTGACCTGGGACTTTAGGAGCAGAAAGAGAAAGAGCAGAAAGAAAGTAGATGAGGGACTCCCAGAGGCAGTGCCACTGAAGTGGCTGCTGCAGGGGAGTGTGAAGGCAAGTATACCTGGGAGAATGTCTTAATTTGGAGAAGTAGGGGGTGCAGTGGCTGCAGTCCCACTGAGGTCAGAGATCAGGCCATTGTGGGGGGAGGTCTGAGTAGCTTAGAAAAGTCTCACATCAGTGCATGACATCACTGAGCAAGAGGATCCCCAGTCCGCAGTTAGGCTGGTCAAAGGGACAGACTGGGAGGCTGGGGGGATGCTCTTTTCTTCTAAGATCCCTGCCAGGGTCTTAGACTTTGCATGTTTTCGGATGGCACTAAGACAGCTCTTAGCAGTGACTAAGGTTCTAATTAGTAGCCACGTGGCCTCAAGCAACCCAAACAATCCATTTCTTTCTTGTATCTCTTTTTGTTTGTGCGCCTGTGATTGAATGCATGACCTCAGGCACACTTTAGCACTAAGTTATATTCTCAGTCTACCATTGTTTCTTTTTCCCTCTCTTTTTTGAGAGAGTCTCATAGAGCTCAGATAAGCCTTGTTCTCTCTATGTAGCCAAAGACAATCTTTGTATCCATTTCTGAGTGTTGGCATTATAGGTGCATGGCAACATGCTAGGTTTATGTGGTGCTTGGGATAGAACCTAGGATCTCACATGCTAGATAAGTATTTTACCAATTGAGTCATATCTACCACCCCATTTCCTTGATTTCTTCATCTCTAAGAAGTTGGGAAATAGTGTGGTGATAAACACATGTAATTCTAGTACTCAGGCTGGATAGGAGGGTTACAAATTCAAGGCCAGCCTGGTCTACAAGAGCTAGATCCTGAACTGGCACCAAAGTTAAAGAGAAACCCTGTCTCAAAACAAACAAACAAACAAACACCAAATGATAGATTAGTAAGAGTAATAGTAAATATTTACATGGCAATTATTAAATCTGGACCAAAAAGGAAGACGTGGCCTAGAGATAAAAAGGTGAGCAAATGCCCTACATGAAATGTTTGAAGTCATGGGTAAACTGGATGTCTGGAAAAGGAGTCACATAAGAGAAAGGCTACGATTGAACAGCCAAGTAGAAAAAGAGAAGCTGAACAGGAGTGGCTGGAGTGGTAGGAAGACACGGGCCTGGAAAGCCTGTGTATAAAAGGGGTTTCAAGGAAGAAATAATGCTGAGTATCACATATTGCTTCATAGGTCAAGGAGGATGAGAACTAAACGTATCCATTGGATTTATTGACTTGGTGGTCAATTATGACCTTATTATAAACTGAGGTTTGGAGGTCAGATTAGAATGTACAGAATAGGAGCAAACAAGCAGTCAGGCACTTAGGAGGTGGAAGCAGAAGGACCAGAGGTTCAAGGTCTACTTTGCCTCAGCTACATCTATGGGAATTTTCAGGCCAACCTGAGCTACATGAGAAAAAGTATAAAAACCAAAGAAAGACAAGAAAGAAGGGAGGAGAGAGGGCTGAGAATAAAGCTCCTTGGTAGTCACACTTAGACCTATACAGATCACATATTGGATATACAGATCATATTGGAAATTTCTTATATTTTAGACTTTGGCTTTATAAAATGAACTAGTACCATACTTTGTTAACACTAAACATTTGGCATTTTATATATAAACCTTATATATAAGAATTATCTGAATTTTTTGAACCCTTACCTTCTTTCTCTTCAGGATTTTGGGACAGTTGCTGTTATCCTGATTTTGATAAGATAGAAAAACTTACAGTTAAGATTAATGCATATTATGTATCTTTCCCTAGTCATTTTACCTCAAACTTTGAAAATCTCCCTATGAAACCAACACTAGCCTTGAACTTGTTACATAGCCCAGGGTGTCTTCAAAGTTGCCATGTACTTCAGTTTGGCCATGAACTCATGATTCCCTTGCCACAACTTCCAAGTGCTAAGATTACAGATGGGTATGCACTACCACACCTGGCGAGGGGGGAATCATTGTTTTCTTCTGATTTTTGAGATAGGGTCTCATTACACAGCCCTGGCTGTCCTGAAACTCTCTATGTAGACCAGACTGGCCTTGTACTCAGAGATCTGCCTGCTTCTGCCTCTAGGAATTAAAGGCATAAGACACCACATCTAGCCCCTACCTGACTGTTTTACCTCTAACTTTGTTTTTGAGATAGGCTCTTGCTATATACCCTATACTAATATTGAATTCATATTGATCCTCCTGCCTCAGCCTCCTGTGTTGGAACTACAGGCATGTGCTACCATGCCTGGCTGACATTGCTAACTTTTAAAAATATTAACATTAAGAGTAAATTGTAGGTTGGTAAGCGTAAGATGGCTCAGAGGGTAAAGGCACTAGCTCCCAAGCCTGACAATGGACTTCAATGTCTGGAATCTACATGGTAGAAGGAGAGAACTGATTGGTACAAGTTGTCCTCCAACCTCCACACCATATATACTACCCCACCCTGTGCATGTCTAAAAATAAATTAAAATGTAATAAAAATTTTTAGTTTCGGTTTTTTGAGATAGGGTCTTACTATGTAGCTCTCGTTGGCTTAGAACTTGCTGTGTAGACCAGGCTGGCCTCCAACTCAAGAGATTCACCTGCCTCTGCCTCCTAATTCTAGGATTAAAGGTGTGTGGTGCCATGTACAACTAAAGAAACGAATGGAATAAAAAGTAAAGAGTAAACTGCTTCCAAGTTTGGAAAGCATTCTTAGCTGAAGATAGTGGCATAAACCTTTTGAATCCCAGTACTCAGGAGGCAGTGGACCTCTGATTTAGGTCAGCCTGGTTCAAATTTTCAATTTCAGTGTCAGTTCAAGGGGAGCTACATAGTGAAACCCTGTCCCAGAAAAAGAAGGAAGGAAAGAAGGGGGAGGGAGGGAGGGTGTAAGGGGAAGAAGAAAGGAATACAGGACTCTTGAGGCTTTAGTTCAAAGGAGAAAATTTATTTGCCCCACACGAATCCAGAATGAGAGCAGTGAGACTTGGTGAATGAGAGCAGTGAGATATTATGTACTCTATAAAGCCAGGACGTCTCTTTACCTCTGATCAAACTCCCCTGTGGGTGGAACTCACATCCTTGGAGATATCGAGATATCCCCTGCCATTGCCTAATGTTCCCTCAGCCTCCAAATCCTCATGTACACTACTGTCCACATTTCTTCCAATTCATTTCACTCCTGAATCCCAATCACATAGTAGTTATCTTCAATCTGATCCCAAAAGACACCAAATGAAGAGCTTGATGTGGGTGTGGTGGCAGGAGTATCTCCACAAGTTCAAGGCTTACGTGGTTCACATACTGGGTTCCAGGTCAGCCAGGGCTACATGATACCCTAGAGAAAGGAACGAGGAAGAGAGGGAGGAGACAGATGAAGGAAAGAAAGGATGGGCAGTGGACTTAGGAGAAATAAAGAACTTGAGATTGCCTGAGGTTTGAAGAGCTTCCTTGCTGGGTATTTCTTGGAAATTTATTATTATTATTGTGTATGTGTCTGTCTGTCACACCATGTGTGTAAGTGTGGGCACCCACATGCAATAGCACATGTGTGGCGATCAGAGAACAGCTTTCATGAATTGGTTCTCTATCATGGCTTCCAGGGACTGAATGCCACCAACCTTGTGTATAAACTGTCTTTACCCCTTGAGCCATCTTTCTAGTACTGCTTCTTAAAATTTGATTTTCTCAGATTGATGATTCTGCTGAGGGAGACTAAAAATAAACCACAAGTCTACATTTCAGCTGGGTATGGTGGCCTATTCCTGTTGCCCCAATATTCAGAAAGCTAGGTAGGAAGATTGTTCCAAGTTTGAAGCCACCTGAGCTATATCTAATGAGTTCCAAATCATCCTGGGCAACAGTATGAGAGCCTCAATCACAAAACCAAAAAATAAGAACAACAAAATCAAAATAAATAGAATGGTCTATGCAGTCATTCTGTGTAATGTCAGCAGGAAGGAGGAGGGAGGGCCATCCAGGAACCTCCAGCTTGCACCAAGCTTGGAAGAGTCTTAAATTCTTTATATGAAAATGCATTATAGCTAAGTGGTGGTGGCACATGCTTTTAATCCCAGCATTTAGGAGGCAGAGTCAGGTAGATCTCTGAGTTCTAGGCCAGCCTGGTCTACAGAGTGAGTTCCAGGACAGCCAGGGCTACTCAGAGAAACTCTGTCTCTGAAGAAAAGGCATAGTATTTGCATATAACTTACACATATTCTCCTATCCACCTCTAGATTATAGTACTAAGTAAATGCTTTGTAAATGATCACTACACTATTAGTTAAGAAAATCTATAACCATTTAGTGCAAATTTTTCTTTATATCTTCAACTCACAATTATTGAATCCATGAACGCAAAATCTCCAGATACAGTGAGCCAACCATAATGTCTTTTATTTATTTTTGAGCATTTTTTAATAATTTTTTTCCATCACTCAGTTGTGTAGTTGTTTTTAAGAGTTTAAAAATTCCAAGTGGCCAGACGGTGATGGCGCACGCCTTTAATCCCAGCACTAGGGAGGTAGAGCCAGGCGGATTTCTGTGAGTTTGAGGCCAGCCTGGTCTACAAAGCGAGTTCCAGGACAGCCAGGACTGTTAAATAGAAACCCTGCCTTGAAGAAGCCTCAAAAAATTATGTGTGTGTTTGTGTGTGGGGGTATGTGCATGTGAGTGCAGGTGCCCAGAGGTCACAGGAGTTGGATTCCCTGGATCTGGAGTTACAGATGGTTGGAAGCATGATGTGGGCAATAGGAACCAAGCTCAGCTCCTCTGGAAAAGCAGTACACACTGTGAGCCGTTGAGACATCTCTCAAGCCCCCATATTATCTTTTAGGTTCCCTTTAGCAGGAGCTGTGGCTTCGTGGTAGAATGTCTGTACAGCATGTGGTAGGTCCTGGGTTAGAGTATCCCCAGTACTACAAACAAAAATATCCCACACATTTTGGGTCTAAGCATGGGGACTTGCACCTATAATTAGAGCAGTGAGCAGGCTGAGGCAAGAAGATTCTGGGTCATATAGCAAGACTATATAAAAATAATAACCTATAATTTTAGGATTTTTTTCAATCTAGCCGCACCCTACTAACTTTTGTGTCTTCTCCTTTACACATACACTCTGATATGTATTAAACAATAGCAAAAGCACTAGGGTCACCAAAACTGTCATCCAGGCACCTGGACTTTCTATGTAGCCTAGGTTGATCTTATACTTACAATCCTCCTGCTTCAGCCTCCTGCTTACTAGAATTGTAGGAACAAACCACAACAACTAGCTAGGAGGTTTTTTTAAATCGAACTAGACCAGGCTGGCCTTAAAATCATGGCAGTCCTTCTACTTCAGCTTTGCCAGAAATGGGGTTTGGGGTGTATGAGTCATCAGACCCAGCTTAGAATGTCATTTCCTTTTTGTTTGTTTGTTTGTTTGTACCTTTTATTCAGAGGGAAAGTTGTAAGACAAGGTTTCATGTAGCCCAGCCTAGCTTCCAATTCAGTATGCAGGTGAGGATGGCCAAGAACTCCTGACCCTAAGTGGGAGGATTACAGGCATGCACCACCATGCCCAGCCCAGGTCTTTCTCTTGAGAGAAATGAATGAGCCTGATTCTCAGCTTTCTGTAAACCATCTAACATGGAACTGGACATATAGGAGGTGCTCATAAGCTCCTGGTGGCTATGAGGAGCAGAATGCATATGCATGTGCTTGTTTTCACATGTGTGCCAAACATACAGCCAAGTGGGGGTGGGGCGGGACTGAATCCACTCTTCCATGATGAGGTGAGAGATGACGCTTATGTGAAACTGCAGAATATAAGGTTTATTTAGGGGAGCAGCAGCACAGTTTGTTCTCTCCTCCTCCAGCCTCCTGCTGCTCAGTGACACCACACAGTCAACTATATCCTAGTCTCTGAGGTCGCCGAGGGCCTACCTAGAAACTCAACTGGCTGCTGTTATTATTCCCCCATAGCTTCTTCCTCCTCTTCCTCCTCCTCTGTCCAGCTCAGGTCATCATCTGAATCCTCAGATTCTTCCTCATCCATTTCTAACAAAACCCCTGCCCTTGCCTTCTCAGCTAGTGAATCGGGGTGCTCCAGCTGGGCCCAGGATCCTGGGTCAGCCTTGACCAGGGAGATTTCCACCCGTGATGGCATCAAGGAGACAGAACTCTGCTCCACGTTTATGACCTAAGGAGGAGGGAGAGACAGAAAGAATGAAGAAATCACAGACTTGGGCTTAGAGTGTTGATGAATAAGAACAGAACAGAAAAAGAAAGGGGAAGACAGAAGGACGCAATGGGGAAGAACAGAAGGAAGGAAGAGGGAAGAGGAGACAAAGGAGGGAAAACCAAAGCAGGTAAAGAAAAATGCTCTATTCCCCACAGCTTACCCTCTACCGACTCAGTCTGGCCCTCCTCTTACCTGTCTATCCCCCCTTGCCTCTGCCCACTTCTCTTCACTTACCCCCCAGAGCTTCATTTGGGCTTGGAACACGCGGTTACCATCAAAGGCAATGTGGACATGAAGCTGAGAGGAAAGAATTAGAAGAAGGGTAGTATCAATTCCAGAAAGTCAGAAAAAGTCATTACTTCAGAATCAGGTAAGAGGCAAGATCCACAGGCCTGCCAGACAACCCTGCTGTAATAACTTTCCATTCCTCTTGGGGGACTCTGGAACCTAAAGAGTGATGGCATATGGGTAGTGGTGGCACACGCCTTTAATCCCAGCACTCGGGAGGCAGAGGCAGGTGGATCTCTGTGAGTTCAAAGCCAGTCTGGTCTACAGAGTGCATCCCAGGACAGCTAGGGCTACACAGAAAATGCTGCCTTGGAAAACCAAAACAAACAAAAAAAGGGAGTGGCAGCATACAGCACTTGTCCCTGTAAGACTGTACGACCACCAGAGTTCACTCACCCCCATCCTGCCCCAGATCATTGCTCACCTCAGTTTGACTGGCTTTCACCCAGTTAAATGCAGGAAGTGGAATCTGGCCATATACAGTCAGCACTACCAAGGAATCTGTTTGGTGCCAATCATGGCGGCAAGAAGCTGGCAGCTAGAGATGTGAAAAGATTGGAAAAAATCAACTCTTAAACCAGGAGGAGTCTCATGGGGAATAAAGACACAAAAAAAAACTCAGAAAGATTAACTATTTCATGTTGCCAAGATTCTGGGCTATAGAGAGATAAAAAACAGAATTTTATTTGACTCGTATTAAAGGAAAATTTTAGGGAGGTCAGCCAGGAGGTACGAGGAGAGCTTATCTCTGTAACTGGGGCCTAATCAACTGTTTAAGAAGGGGGTGGGGCTTACCTGCTTTGCCCAGTCATGTCTACCAACTCTGCATCCTGGCTGTGCCAGGAATGCCCCAAAATCCAAAGTCTGGATACCACAACAGCTCCAAGACTTCATCCTGAGGAAGGAAGATCATTTATATGAATTCCACCCCAAGCCCTTACTCTCATTTATATTGGGAGAAACCTACCCAGTACTTTATCTCTTACCCCTCATGAAACCGAGGTGCCCCTGGGTGGTAGGTACATGGAGCAGAGTCACTCTCAGGACCTTGGTAAACCTAAGGCCAAAGGAGAAACAGGTCATTCAAATTCATGCCTCTCCCCACCCAGGCATTGCTCAGGTATCTCAGCCACATGCTTGAGCACAACCCCCCCAAACTCTCACTCACAGCATCACATCCTGGGTTCTGGCAGCTGGAACCAGTCCAGATCAGACTACTGTCAAGTCCTGGACAAAGGAAAGAGTCAGGAACTTTTCTGTTTCCCCCACCCTACTGCCATTTACATGAAATTCCAGTCTTTGAGATTTGTCCTATTAAAGGCCCACCTACCTGCTCCAGGTTCCTGGTCTAGTTCCTTCTGTTCCAATGCTACTCCCAGGGCTTGAGAAATAATAAGTGGCAGCAGTTTCGGAGGCATCTCTGCCCTACAGGTTATAAGCATGCATTTAGATCTGATCCATTCATCAGAATAACCAGCTCTAGCGCCCCTACCCACATTGTTGGAATCAAGTAAGTCTGGTAAAAGTGTAGCAGGGTCAGAGAAATCAGGGTACAACTCTACTGGCAATTCTCACCTGTGGACATTCAAATCCCATAGCCCTGGAGAAGGCTTAGGGCTTCCTTTGCAGTTGGTTGCTTCTACTCTTCCCACATTTCTCTGCAGAACCTACATCACTTCCTATTCCTCTTTGTGAACCTAATGCCTTCTTGCTTATAATATTCTCTGCAACCTTCTGCCTTCCTAATACTACTTCCTATGATGTAAGGTAGCTTTTGTTTTTGAGAGGTTTCTCTGTGTAGCCCTGGCTGTCCTGGAACTCATTCTGTAGACCAGGCTGGCCTGGAACTCAAGAGATCTACCCGCCTCTGCTTCCTGAGTGGTGCTGGGATTTAAGGCATGCACGACACCTGCAAAATGTAGCTTTTTAAGGGGCTGGAGAGAATGTGCAGTCTGAAGTGGGGGAACCTTATTGCTCTTGCAGAAGACCCGAGTTCAGTTCCCAGCATCTACACCAGGCAGCTCACAATCACCTGGAGCCACACACACTTACAGAAATAAAAATGTCAGGTTACCTTGTTTCAGAAAGAAATTCAAATAAAATATTGAGCTTTTGTTTTGAATTTTTATTATTACTAGCATAGTGTCAGGGCTGCATATTATAGCACACGTGTGGAGGTCAGAGGATAACTTTATGTAGACTTCCGGGACCAAACCCAGTTAGTCAGTATTATTGAGGAATCAGCTTTTTTTGTTGAGTCATACTACTGGCTCCTTTTGTTGTTTGGAGACAAGATGTCACTTGGTAACCATAACTGACCTGTAATTCACTGTATAGAATGGACTAGCCTCAGAGGCTGACACCTCTGCCTAAGCTTTGCAATCTACGGGCACAGAGCAACATGTGCAGCAATTTAAGATTTACTTTTTGCTTTATTTTCTGTATCCCAGGCCAGTTCAATATCCATAGAAATCTTACTGACCGAGCATTCTAAGTATTGAGAGTACAGGAATGAGCCAACAAAACACGTAAGATTAAGTTCTTCCCAAACCAAAGAGATCAATCGAGGTGTGTTGGGGAGTAGGCACGAGCAAGGTATAATGATACATGTATGAAAACTTGATGAAACCCATTACTTTCTATACTAACTAAAAATTAAAAACTAAAAATGCACAACAAAACTATCACTTCATTTTCAAGCAGGTGTGGTTGTGCACACCTGTAAAAATGTCGGCTTTCACGAAGTTAAGGTAAGAGGATCAATTTCAAGACTGGGCCACACAGACAGCCTAGTTCAACAAAATCAAAGCACAGGTTATCTAGTCACTACTCTGCTATATACCATGTATTTGAGGAGTTACCTAGTCCCGAGAATAAAGGGGTCTCTTCCATCATCCTTATACCATCTTATAGCAACAGACATTTGACACAAATTTCCCCTGTGACAAAAGATGCATCATGCAAGCCACCAACACATGACCCTCTTCACATCTCTAACCCCTTGTTTCTAATCCCTAGTGAGCCATTAATCCCTAGAAAGCTGCATGGGTAGAGAAAAAAAGCCTTGGGTCTCTTTACTTAGGCCTTTCTCGGAGCAAGGTCTCTGCTGACTTTGGAATTGTATTCAGAGGTTTTTGCTCCTGAAGCGAACTCGTGGCAGGGCCTTCAGGCTGAGGGCCCTCAGGAAGCTTCTCAGCACAGTGTGGTCCCACAGTACAGCCCTAGTAGATAAGGAGATAAGGATTAGAAGAGTTCTTCCATAGGGACTAGAATCCAAGGAAGTAAAGGCTTTACCTTGATATTTAAGAACTCAGAGAAATCTACAGTTCGCTTTCGGCAGCAGGACCAACCCTGACAACAAGAGACCCTGATCAGCTTAGATTCCCTGGGTATATTTCCCTGGGGAAAATGCTCCTGCTAGGCCCCCATCACCTATTCCTCACCTTAAGTGCATCATGGAAGATTGGGACCCCAGGGTGATAGTGACAGGAATCTGTAGATACCAGAAAGCAGGAAAAGAACTATGTCAAATAGCATCCCTCATATTTTCTTCAGGTTCGTGTTAATGGTTCTTCATATAATGTGGAAAGTAAACCAGCAGACTAAAGATCACCCAAATCATGCCCAATTTTTGTTCTCCCTGTTCCCAATAGCCAGCCAGCTGAACAATTAACACTTACTCAGAGCCCAAGGTCAGTATTTACTCACCAGGGAGATTGACATTATGGTCAAAGTGTTGCCCGCAGCCTTTGTTATGGCAGAGCAGAGACATGGAAGCGTTGGTTGAGCTTACTCAAAGGGTATTTCAAGGAGTCTGGCTGCAGAGTGGGGAACACCTCTTAAGTCTGAAGGCTTTTAGCTGCCTAGAAGGGCCAGCTGTTTCTATCTTTAGTTCAGGAGGCGTCCACCTCCAAACATGGGCAAGGGAACTTCAGTTGGTCTTCCCAGCCAATAGGAAAGTGCTCCAGAGTATTTTAGCTCTGAGGCTCAGGAAGAGCCCTTGGAACTTGGGTGAGGTCAGTAACTACAGCAGCTTTAGATGTTGCCAATTCCAAGCCTCTGACATACCAGCAGCTGCTAAGAAACAAAATACTAATTAAGATCCTCCCTCCCTATGTGGTATGGATACAACCCCTCCATTTTCTGCCATTTGGAGTAGCTTGTCTGCCACTACCATTACCCAGCATTGATGCTAGTCACTCTATCTTGCATCTCACCCTCCCCTGCCCATGCTTGCCTAATGTTTAGTATTTCAAAAGGTGACAAAGATCACCATTATGTAGTCTACTGTATGCATCTCCCAAGACAGAATTTTTTCCCTTCCCCTTCAAAAAACAGCACAGAAAATTAAAAGGCTTCAAATGTATTTTAATAAGGTGATGTGGCATTACTGCTTCATTTCTCAGAAAAATTTCAAATTGAAGGTATCAGGAACAAATCAAACATAGTAAGTACACCAATAAAAAAATGCACAGCGTAACTACCTAAGATAGGCATGGCTAAGAGCTACTGTCAGACCTTCAACACACAGCAACCCTGTTCCCAAGATTGTACTAGGCCTATCAAGAAAAGCTGTGAACAGCAATATCAGACAGAAAAGGGCATTCATTCTTGAGTAGTCCTTACCCAAGAAAAACATGAAGGCAAGTTAACACAAGACTTTTTTTTTTAAAGATATACTAAAATGAAAACCTCTAAGAGAAAATGTCTTCCTTAGGACATGAAGGGGTTATATATGAGATATAACAGAACCGTATGTATGTTGTAACCTCTGCGGACATTTGTCTGAATTCTCACCTGGGAGTGAATGGAGGAATTGGGCTAGGTCATTGGAGGATGTTTAGATTTTGTGGTATATATATGGCAGTGTCTCTGGGGTTGAGGGGAATAAAGATGAAAAAGTAATTAAAACATGATGAATGAAGGGGGGAGGGATGGAAGAAAGCAAGGAAGGAAAGAAGGAAACAGGAATGATCAAGATTAATGGAGCTCTCTGAGTTCACTTTGCTATGGTTCAAGGCCCTCAACAATCAACACATTTCAGGAATGCACCAGACAGACTTGAGAAAGCAATATACCACAGACTTTGATTTGTTAAATTAACACCCCTCCCTTGCCCTCTGCCTCCAAGCATACTCCCTAGAGTATTACAGGCAGGGAAGACCTATCTATTGGGAAGAACCCCTAACACTTTTCCAGGGTAGAATTCTGGCTAGTCCAAAAAGAACCTTCTTTTAAGGGTTGCGGGAAACTAGACATTGCAACTTTTATTTAGTATCGGCGGCGTTTATTTGGAGCAAATTCAGCTCCAGGAGCTGGACGGTTGAAAGCAGGAGGATTTCCACCAATTGCTCCAATTCCTTCCATTGTAGCAGCTTGCCCGAAACGTTCAGTTGTTGGTGGGGTCTTAAAAAAGAAAGAGAACAAGGTTAAATACAGTCTATGTTCTCAGTTTCTGGCTCATTTATGGTCTTGCCACTATAAGCCACTTCTACTTAACTATTCAAGACTCCTGACTGCTAGGGGCAAGGTAACTAAGTCTGCTTAGAGTTCTCGTGGACCTGAAAGGAACAGAAGGCTGTACTTCTTTAGCTTTTTATTCATATTTTATATACAACTGAAATTCTTATTTGGATAGGTTCTATCCAAGTTCTTTTTCCAAACCAGGAAGATCAGGTTACTATTTCTCTAGAAACCTTAATTTTATCCAGTTTTGGCCTATTCCATTTTGACATTTGAACAACTTCCAGACTTTAAGAACCATGAGGCCTTTGAATTAACATTCGTTATATGTCATATCTAAGCTTTCTTGACTTGCCCCTCTAAGAGCAACCTGCTGGCCAGGCAATGTGGTGCATGCATTTGGAAGGTAGAGGCAGGAGCATCTCTGTGAGTTTGATGCCAGCCTAGTCTACATTGCAAGCTCCAGGACAGCCAGAACTACAGAGACCCTATCTCAAAAACCCCCAAATCCACAAAACAAAAAGCAATTTGTTTACTGAGGACAACAAATACAGTCAGATATCGTTTAAATTCCAATGTTAAAATAACATGGTATTGAATTTTCTCAAGATTACAAATAAAATACCAGGGACACGGAATAGTGAGACACCTGTTGCCTTACATCTATCAGATCCTGGGTTTAATTATCCTTACCATCCCCTAAACATCTTAAGGTTACATTTTATGTATACCAATACTAATAAAAATCAATACCTGTAATGAAAAACAAAGTAAACTCAGGTAGTAGACGCTGGGCAGATAGCTTAATTGGGTAACTGGGTAAAGTACCTGTCCTGCAAGCTTGAGAGCCCCAGCATCCAATGTTAAAGACCAGTCAACCTAGCCTAACTGGCAAGTTCCAATCACAGATGAATCCTGAGAAACAACACACAATGCACACTTACATGTAGACATATGTGTGCGCACGCGTGTGCGCGCGCACACACACACTCGCACACACACATCCATAAAAATTAGATTCCAGAGGTTGAGAAGTTCATCCTATCACTATTTACAATTATTATGAAGCCCTGTAGTTTATTACCAATCCCAAAGTTCCATCTGGCATCATAGTGGCAGGTCCTGGAGGAGCTGGGGTACCAGTTGGCACAGGAGCAGGGGGCATGGCGCCTCTATTGTTTATGCCCATAGCACCTAAAGCAGAGCAGTATGATTAGTATAGGGGAAAGAGTCTCTTTCCCTACCAAGAAACAATTCAGTAGGATCTGTAGACAAGATATATCAACAGCCGCCCATTTCTAGCCCTAATGTTTCTGGAAATGTCAAGTCATTTAAATGTGGACTATGTAGAAGCTCCGTAACTCAGAGATCAGGTTTAAAAAAAAAGAAAAAAGAAAAGAAAAAGAAATAAGGCTCGTCGGATCTGAGTTTAAATTAAATGGGGGGAAAAAAAGCCAGGCATGGCATCCTAGCACTCGGGGAGAAGACAGGTTCCATGAGTTCAAGACCAGCCTGGTCTACAGGCTGAGTTCTAGGACAGCCAACAGCCAGATATACATAGAAAGACCCTGTCTAGAGAGAGAGAAAAAAGAGCCAGGCAGGATTTTGTGAGGTAGAGACAGGCAGATCATAGTAATTTGCCAGCCAACTCAGGGGGGGAAAAAAGGCAGGCAGTTTTTTGATTACTGGATACCTGCTGCTCTTTCCCTTCTTTCTTTTCTTCTGATGTTACCATGTTTATATTTTCCCATTTCACAGCACCTAGTCTGGCTGATGGGCCTGGAGTCTTTTGGGCTAATGGAGTGGCATCAAATGACCCATTATTGGCTTTATTTCATGCTGTTCTTTTCTATAACTATCCTTTTTGCACCCTAAAAGTCACCAGAACTTACCTCCCATAGCCATTTGGCCCATCCGAATCTCTTGTTCTCTCTGAAAAACAATACAAACTCAACACAGTCCAAGACAACAATCCACTTATGACAAGACAAAGGAAGTAAACAGTGATGACATACTAATGCCCTCTTGCTATTTGTGCAATTACTTCAGGTAACAAATTAGAATTTTCTATTAGGAACTGTAACATGATGGCCGGCTTGTTGGGGTTTCTGTCCCGCCCGGTACCCGACAGCCGGCAACTCCCAAGGAAAATCATACACAAGACTCCATAAGATTATAAACTGATTGGCTCATTAGGTCAGGCTACTTATTAGTTCTTATGACTTATCTTAACCCATTATTCTGATCTATGTTAGCCACACGGGCTCAGTACCTTTTTCAGTGTGACAGCTTACATGTTGCCTCTTCGGTGGTCTGCGCAAGAGTGGCTGAGGGTTTCCTGTGTCCCAGAATACTCCCAATCTCTTTGCTCCACCCCTACTTCCTGTCTGGCTTTCCCGCCTATACTGCCTGCCTGACCAATCAGTGTTTTATTAAAATATGATTGACAGAATACAGACAATTCTCCCACATCAAGGAACAAAAAGAGGCAACAGGGGAAGAAAGTACTAATTTCTTCTTGGGGCTGCAAACCATCTAACTACACGGATAGCAGTGAATTAGCCAAATTCTGCTACAGGACTCGATTTACCTTTTATTGTCACTGGACATGAACAACAAATTTTATCCTAAATTTGCAATAAAGCAAAAGCTCTCTTTCAAACCTTACCTCACTTCCCTATTAACATCTTTTTTCTCCTAAAAGGAACTTTATAGCATAGAAACACTGGTCATAACCTGGTATCCTAACAGATATTTTATGGTAGTTTTGTCTTATCACCACTGGCCTGGCACGTCATGGGCACATGGGAGATATACCGCATCAGGGAAGGTTCCCTTGAATCCTTCTTGCTGTCGCCGCATCATTTCTTCTTGTTGCCGCCGCATTTCTTCCTCACGGCGTCTGCGTTCCTCTTCCTGCCTATAGAGTCACCAAGGTATTTTAATATAAAGGCATTCCAGAGCATGAGCAGACCACTTGGAACAGGAAGAAGCTTTGAGGCAAAGAGACAACCTTACCAAAAACCTGCATAGCTTGCCAAGTACCAGGGCAACACTCAAAGAGATCCAGAGACAAACACTCAGCTCTTTCCCTTTAGTGAAGCCCTAAGGCAATCCCTAGAACCCAAATGCAGCTAAAATATCTACCCAAAGGGAGAACCTGAGAGGCAGCAGGAATTTGCCAGGGAGAATGAAAAAAAAAAAAAGCATCACTCTTGGAAAAAAAAAAGTTAAAGGAGTTACAAGGCTGGTGAGACAGTTTGGTGGAGAAAGGTGCTTACAGATGACCAGTTTAATCCCTAGGACCACACAGGTATAGGAGGGAATTGCTTCTGAAAGTTGTCCTATGGCCTCCACACACTGTTAACATGCGCCCAGGCCCCAAACAAACAAAAGGAGCTACCTGAGCTCTAGCTGCTTTCGTTTCTGAACCTCTTGGTTATGCAGCTCCTCCATTCTCCGAAGTTCTTCTTGACGCCTCATCAAATCTAGCAACAGATTGAGACTTTGATTTTTTCACATATACAATAATTTCCTACAAATATCCAGAAAGCAAAGATGTTGACTAGACATAAGCTATAGTCATTTTGGAAGAGGGAACCTCAATTGAGAGTGGTTGGTGGACAAGCCTACACTGCATTTTCTTGAATGATGTGGCATGGCCCAACTCATGGTGGGTAAACCAGGCATGCATATGCCTTTAATCCCAGCACTCAGGAGGCAGAGGCGGGTGGGTTCACTACACAGAACAAGTTCCAGGACAGCCAGGGCTTCAGAGAGAAACCATTCCTCAAACAAGCAAACAAAACCCAAAAAAAATCAAAAAGAAAGCAAGCAGGGTGGACAAGACATGAGGAGCAACCTAATAAAATTCTCCATCAGTTCCTTCCTGCAGGTCTCTGCCCTACTTAAGTTCCTGTTCTAGCTTCCTACAATGATAGACTGTTATCTGTAATTCTAAAACAAAATAAACCTTTTCCCTCCTCAAATTGCTTTTGACCATGGTGTTTCATCACAGCACTAGAAACCTTAACTAAGACAGTATATAATCCCAGAATGACTATCCAAATGAACTCAAACCTTACTATTTGCTTCTTCATAGAATCTATCTAGTATTCAATATTCCAAACCCACCCACATCAAAATCAACTAATTTATTTCAGGGAACAAAAGCAGAAATTTGTTTTATTCTACCGAAGGACAAAGAAATTACTGAACAAAAAATGACATTTGATATTTATTGTAGTTTTACAACCCACAGGCCTATACTCACCCTGCCTCATTAGCATAACCTGGTGCTCATGGCGTGCTGCCTCCATCTCCATCTCCAGCTTCTCACGAGCCTCCTTGATGTTGCGGTCCACTTGATCCTGCTGCTGCTTCTCCATCTCAATGAGTGCCTTCCAGCGCATGGCATACTCATACTCAAAGGACCCCGGCTGTGCAAATCTAGGTGGCTGTTCTCGCTCCCTATAGACAATATTATGTATATACTTAGTTCAGAATTTCTTAGAATCATTCTTTTCTAAGAGCCAAGTGAACACACACATCTATGTATATATACAAAGATTTGCACAATGTGCAGACACAAATACATATATACACACAGACGTGACTCTTAAACACCACTTTAAATTTCAAGAATGGGAAAGTAACTAGGAGATGGAAGTGTAGTCAAACAGGTTATGATCCTGGGTTCAACTGCCAACACCACATATATAAACACACACCCCACCACCACCACGGAAATACATGAGTCAATCCATCTGGACCACATACTTGTGAAATTGCTGGTTTTTTATAACCAGCTTCTCTGGAAGTCCCTCCTCATCATCTAACTGGTCCATAGGCTCCACAGTCACAGGCCGAGGAAATCTAGGTAAAAGAAGGAGTTAGTGTTAATGAAGTCATACCCCAAAAAGCATGCTCCCTATGCTTGACACTGGCATGATAAACTAATTAGGGACCAGAACTTCAGAACTGGACAACTACAACATTTTTGCCAGGAATGGGAATTTGGCAACAATTCAAACTGTAAGCTGGGTTGGTCTCAAGTTAATGGAGTTAACTCCTCTTTCTTAGTCTCGCAAGTGCTGAGATTTTAGATGTGAATTGCCACATCTAAACATATTTCTGAAGAGATTTTTATACTCCAAATAACCAAGTCATTCTTACTGGCATTATGGATAATTTGGAGTTAACAGCCCAGGTTTCAGATCTCTCAAAAGAGTAAGTCAGTATGTTCTAAGAGTACTTATCTAATATTTGGTAACTCTAGAAAATGAAGAAGAGAAAATGAGACACTACATTCAACAAAACAATTTCCCAAAATTCTAAAATGGGAAAATGTGCTATGATTATTCCACTTGTATGTTTTTCCCTGCATTTATGTCCACCTGGTTCCTGCTGAGGCTGGCATCTCATCTGAAGTTACAGATGGCTTTTCTGGTTTTTTGTTCTCTGTTTAACAGCTCAGGCTGTCCTCGAACTCGCTTTTGTAGACCAGGATGGCCTCAAACTTAAGAGATCTACCTGCCTCTGGAATACTGGGATTAAAGACACGTGCCACCTGCCCAGTGTTACAGTTGATTCTGAGTCAACAGGTAGGTGGTGGGAATCAAACTCAGGTCCTCTGCAAGAGCAGACAATGCTCTTAACCACGGAGGCATCTCTCCATCTTGAAAGTTATCCTCATACCCCTTCCATTAATTTATGATCTATGGCCAGCATGACAGTTCAATGGATAAAGGCACTTGGTTCATGCAAACTAGGCAACCTGAGCCTGGTCCTGAAGCTCATGTAGAGGTGGAAGGAGTGAAAACTGGCTTCCCAAGTGTCCACTATGGCATTTACATGCACTTATATACATAACTATTTAAGATTACACTGAAAATCGTTATTAGAAAAGCTGAGTTAGTGTTAAGTCCTTAAATAAATAAAAATAGCAACAGGATTACAAGACGTTAACTCTCCATACCAAAGAAAGATTAAGGAACCCAAAAACCATTGTCTGAAAACTCTACTTACGTGGTTAGCAAGAAGGAGCCTTCACTGCATCTATCCAGAGCTTTCCGAGCAGCTGGCTTCCCTGAGAACTCAACAATGCCTTTCCCTGAGGGCCTTCCTCGGTCATCCACAATGACCACAGCCCTCTCCACCTGGCCAAACACAGAAAAGGCTTCCTCCAGCAGTTCGTTGGACACATACTGAGGAAGGTTGCGGACTGTAAGGGATGCACTATGACAGGCAAAGCGCACACGTAGCTGCTTTCCACGGAGTGGCATATTATCCAACTCCACTTTGGCAATTTCCGCTAGGGTTCGTGTTTCCTGGGAAAAACAAGAAGATTAGAATTTAACAGAGACGAAATGGTGGGTATGGTGGCATATGCCTTTAATTCTAGCCCTCAGGAGGTAGAGGCAGGCAGATATCCTAGACCAGCCTAGACTACATATTGAGTTCTAGAAGAGGGTCAGAATACTTACCAGTTCAGAATATTTTAATTTACACTATTACACCACAATTACTTCTATTCTAAAATAGTAACTACTTTGTGTACGAATGTTTTAACTGTATATAGATTTATGCATAATGTATGTACTTGGTGTCTTTGGTGGTCATTAGAGGCTATCAGAATGCCTGACCAAGAAACTTATTTAGGTCAGGCAGTAGTAGCACACACTTTTAATCCTATCACTCAGGAGGTAGAGGCAGGTGGATGTCTGCAAGACCTAGTTCCAGAACAGCCAGAGCTACATAGTTAAGTCCTTGTCTTGAAAAACAAAAACAAAAACAAAACAAAAGCTTCTTTCTTATATACTATTCCTAAACCAAATGAGATTTTTATTTGTTTTTTTGAGACAGGGTCTCTCTGTAGCCCAAGCTGCCATGGACCTCACTGCACATCACATTGGCCTCGAACTCAGAGATCCTGCCTCTGCCTCCTGAGTGCTGGAATTAAAGGTGTGCACCACCACTGCCCGGGTTAACTCAAACCAGACTTAAACATAAGATCTGCACAAAACATCGGCAGAACTGAGAGCACCACTGAGCAGCAGCACATTTATCTAATATCAGAGTCTGCATTTGATTCCCAACTGTCTCCCTCAGAAAGAAAATGCACTTTCACTTGACTAATAGTAAAAGATTTTGAATCCCTTGGGGTTTTTAAGAGTAAGACAATACATGTCATATACACGGATTTTGGGAATAATATAAACCTTGATAACCACCAAAACAAACTTCATTTTCACTTAACCCAAGCATGGTAGTGCAAGCACGTGTATCATCCAGCACTTGGGAAGTAGACGTAGGAATCCTATGAGTTCAAGGAAACCCTGGGGTTACATAATGAGATCTGCAAGCAAAAATAACCCCCATACTTTATAGGCTTTGTGTACAAGGCCTTCAAGTCAAAGGGAAAATAATCTTACCAAGCGAATAAAGCCAAAGCCTTTATCCTTATGAATGAAAACCTCGCCTGCTTTCCCGTATTTCTCAAAAAGTTTCCTCATTTCCTCCTCAGTGATGTCAGGAGGAAGATTGCCCACAAAGAGACGGCTTCGTTGGGTGAAAGTCTTCTCTCCTGGTTTCCTAAAGTTCTTCAGGTCAATGGTTAAACCTTCATCTAGAAGAAGACAGTCAATCAAAAGATTAGAAAAAGAATTAGCCATATCCTCAGCATTGCTTTTGTGATGAAGACAAACACCACTTCCAAGTGCATCCTATCCAATTCATCAGTAAATGGCATTTTAGAATGTGAAAGCAGCAGTTGTGACACATGCCTTTGATCCCAGCACTCGGGAGGCAGAGGTAGGCGATGTCTGAGAGTTTGAGCCCTAGCCTGGTCTACAGACCAAGTTCCAGGACAGGCAGGGCTGTTAACACAGAAAAACCCTGTCTCAAAAAAAAAAAAAACACAAACAAACAAACCAAAACAAACAGATGTGTATGTATGTCTGCCTGGATGAGTTTATATGCAGATCCCTGGAACAGGTGGTTGTGACCCATCTGATATGGGTACCCAGAATGGAACCTGGATCTTTTCCAAGGCTCAGCTTTTAATTAACTACTGAGCCACCTCATCAGCCTCTACTTCTATTGCCTCCATTTCAAAAAAATTACTTTATGTGTGTAAGTGTGACTATGTTCCATGTGTGTATGGGCCCCCATGGAAGTCAGAAAAGGATGGTGGATTTCCTGGGAGTTACAGTTGGTACAAAAATACCTTATGCAGGTGCCAGGAATCTAACTCAAGACCTCTGGAAGAGCAAAATTAACCATTTCTCTAGTCACCCCCATATTATTTGGTTTTTCAAGACAGAGTTTCTCTGTAGCTTTGGAGCCTGTCCTGGAGTTAGCTTTTGGAGACCAGGCTGGCCTCGAACTCACAGAGATCCACCTGCCTCTGCATCCCAAGTGCTGGGATGAAAGGCGTGCACCACCACTGCCCAGCCAGGTTTCCATTCTTATAAGTACTCAGATTCCTAAAGGAACGAGAACACACAAAGACTTTTTAACAGATTAAAAATAACCCGGGCATAGACCAAAAACTAAGTCTTATTATAATTAATATTCCATTAAGTCTTAATTTTTTTTCCTATATCCTCTGATGGTTATCTCTAAGGCCCAAACTACACACAGGCAGATATTTGTTTGTCAGTAGAACATGCCAATAACAGTATACCTATACTCTACTGATGTCTGCTCAGGTTATCACCCCCCTTCTATCATAAAAATACCACTTAATAACCAAATAGGAAAAGCTAGAGTTGGCTTGGCAGGTAAGAGCACTTATTATTCTTCAGAGGATACAAGTTTGATTCCCAGCACCAACGTGGTAGCTGACAACCATCTAAAAACAAAAAAAAAAAAAACAAAACAAAAAAACAAAACAAAAAACCTCGGAAGATCCAATGCCCTCTTTTGACCTCCATGAGCACTAGATACACATAAGAACAAAACATTCATACACATAAATTAAATCTTATTTTAAAAACAAACAGGAAGCTGGAAAGATGGCTCAGTGCTTAAGAGAAGCCAGTTTCAATTCCTAGCACCTATATGGTAGAGCTCACAACTCTCTGAAACTCCAGTTCCAGGGGATCAGAACCCTCACACACCATCAATATACATAAAATAGAATACATAAAATACATAAAATAGAATAAATTTTAAAATTTTTTTTAAAAAAAACACACACACACACAGAACAAAACAGAACAGGATATATTCCAATATTCCGGAGGGAAGCAGAGGCTAAGTCGGCAGTCAAGGGCTGCACACTGAGACCCTACCTGAAAAAAAAAAAATAAAGGCCAGGCAGTGATGGCGACTCCTTTAATTCCAGGACCCAGGAAGGCAGAGGCCAGCCAGCCTGGTCTACAGATTTAGTTCCAGGACAGCCAAAGCTGTTAGAGAAATCATGTCTTATAAAAATCGGGGAAGAAAGTTAAAAAAAAAAAAACAAAAAAAACCAACAACAACCAAAAGTATGCTACAAAAGCCCTATTCACCCATAATCCTAAAAACCATGAAACTGTTCTTGATGGAACCTATTTATGTTCCATCACTCACAATTTACTTACTCTGGCTGCTGGCCTGCTGTCCATTTGCAGGTATTGGTGGGGGTGGTTGCTGCTGCTGTTGCTGCTGCTGCTGATGGTGCTGCTGGTGGTGATGTTGATGGTGCTTCCTTGGAGTATGGTTCTGCTTCTCCAAGTTAAAGGTTTTATTGCTCTGCATGTTTGCACCCTACAGAAAAAAGTAGAATGTCAAATATCCAGCATTAATTATCTTGATATTCTATCGTCTGTGTTTTGCAACTGGTTTCTCTGAATAACAAGGCACAATTTAGGACAGCCTAAGATATTTAAGGCTGTATTTTTAGCATATGCCTTTAATCCCACCACTTGGGAGGCAGAGACAGGCAGATCTCTGTGAGTTTGAGGCCAGCCTAGGCTACAAGAGCTAGTAGTTTCAGGACAGGCTCCAAAGCTACAGAGAAACCCTGTCTCGAAAAACCAAAAAAGACTGTATTTTTTTTTAAAAAAAAAACCTCCCCCCGCCATCCTCCCAAGGTTTGTGAGGCAGAGGCAGAGAGATCGCTGAGTTCAAGTATAGTCTGGTCTACAGTGCAAGTTCTAGGACAGCCAGGGCTACAGAGAAACTAAAGCTTGAAATACTAAAAAACAACGAAATAAAACAAAACCACAAAGGGTCAGGCCTGATGGAGCACACCTTTAATCCTAGCACTCAGGAAGCAGACAGAGGCAGATCTCTGAGTTTGAGGTCAACCTGGTCTACATACTAAGTTTCAGGCTAGCCAATACTGCCCAATGAGATCCTGTCTCAAAACAAAGAAGAACAAAAAATCACAAAGAGTTAGGCATGGGGTATGGTGCTGGTACATGCCTTTAATCCCAACACTTTCTAAATTTTTTCTAATCTATTTAAAATACATTAGTGCTGGGTGGTGGTGGCACATATGTGGCTTTAATTCTAGACTTGGGAGACAGAAGGTGGATTTCTGTGAGCTTGAGGCTAGCCTGGTCTACAGAGTACAAGGACAGTCAGGGCTACACAGAAAAACCCTATCTCAAAAATAAATAAGATGCATCTAACTCCAGCTCCATATAATTAAATGCTATCTTCTTGCCTCAATGGGCACCTGCCCGCACTCACACAAACAAACAAAAAATCTTTACAAGTTTTAAATTAAAAAAAAGCACCCACTCAGTGTGCACCTGTTGTAGTGGCACATGCCTTTAATCCTAGTACCTGGGAGGCAGAGAGAACCAGGGTTACATAGAGTAAGTAGTGGTCTCCAAAAAACAAACCACAGTCTGGGATGCTGAGAATCCTGGGATATCTCAATAAAATAACAAAAGATAAAAAGCAAACAAAACTACCATAAAAAGTTCAGAAGTCTTGATCATCATCATTACCTAAAGCAAAGTTCACTATAGATACTTCCAAATTAAGTGAGGAAAGTATGGACTGCAAGGTTAAAGACTTAGGTTTGAATTATGGTCCCAATACTCACTACAGTGAAATCTGCCTCATTTCTTATAATGCTGTTATAAACAGGCATTCAAAAATATCTGCTCCTTGATATGGCTATAAGGATTAGAGAATAACTCACCACTGGCATATATTGAGCACTCACTAAAGTTTTTTTTTTTTAAACAAGTTCCAGGAGATCTGGGGCTGTTACACAGAGAAACACTGTCTTGCAAGACCAAAACAAAACCTTACCCCTGAGGAGCAGATTGGGTATGAGGAAGGTGAGAGAGGGGGAATGCGAGGAAAGGGGGGTTACTGGGATTGGCACGTAAAAAAAATAAATTTAAAAAGACATTTTAAGTGCATGGGTGTTTTATCTGCATGTCGATGTACCAAGTGTATTATGTGCCTTATGTCCTTTGATGCTAGAAGATGGCTCTGGTACTAGAGCTACAGTTATAAGCTGCTACCTGGATGCCAGAAATCAAGCCCAGGTACTCTAAAAGTGCAACAAGTACTCTTAATGGCTGAGCCATATTCCCAATCTCTATAGTAATTCTTAATCACGATAGGGTTTGAGAACAGGTTGTGAATGAGCCTAAGAGTGAACTCAATTTGTAGCAAAGCAAAAGAAAAGCAAATACAAAAAAACAAAATGTTCCCTTTTGTCATTTGAAAACTAAGAAAAGACAAGATGAGTCAGCCTTACAGTAAGGGCTCTTGCCTCTAAACCTGATAACCTGAGTTCAATTCCTGGGCTCCACATAGTAGGAGAGGAGAGAACCACGAACTTACTAATTAATTCTTGCAATTTATTCTTTGATTACACATACACACAAATATATGTAATAAAGACTAAATCTCTGTATGTAGCCAAGGCTGGTCTTGAACTCTGATCCTCCTACTTTCAGTTCTCAACTGCTTGCTTTATAAGCACGTCCAACCGTGTCTAGCTAAAAAGCTGACAGTCTTTTAAAAACGGAGGATCACTGTCCTCATCCCAAAACTCATGACTCATCCAGTGAATGAAGATCCCCTAGTCAGAATTCAGTTGAAGCAAAGTTGTCAATAAAAGGAGCAGAAAGGCCAGGTGGTGGTGGTGCAAGCCTTTAATCCCTTGGGAGGCAGAGGCAGGCAGGTCTCTGAGTTCGAGTCTAATCTGGTCGTGAGTTTCAGGACAGGCTCCAAAGCTAAAGAGAAACTCTGTCTCAAAAAAAAATATTAATAATAATAAAAAAAGTACAGAAGGTTTTTCCACATACTGTTATCACAGGATACCTTTAATAAAAGAAAAATTATGTCCCAAATTGTGATAAATTTTTGACTGTTGGTTTTAGTTAAGTACATACAAAAGTTTTTCTGTTCTTTATTTTCTATCTGAAGGCTATTTCAGAAGGCAGAAAGTGTGTCAGAGTCAGATCAGTGGGTAAAGGCACTTGTTAACAAGCCAGTACTGAGTTTGATCCCAGAAATCACAGGATGGAAGGGGGAACCAACCCCATGAAGTGGTCCCATGATTCTCTACATGCATACCATGGTACACACAAACCTATACATAGTATTTTTTTAAAATTAAAAAAAAACACACAAGAGCCATCAAGATGCTCATACCTTTTCAATTCAGGAATAAGAATCACACTCCTAGACTTAACCTAAAAAAATTTTAAACGTCAGAAAACTAAAAAACCCAAACAAAAACTCCAATTGAGGCAGTACATCAAAAGATCAAAAGGTGGAAGCAAAAGACGAAGTTTCAGGCCAGCCAAGGGCATAAAATTTCAAAAACCAACTGGAAAGACAGGTCAGCAGTTAAGACAGCAGTTATGAGCTCTCTTGCAGAGGACATGAGTTCAGTTCCGAACATCAATGTCAGGTGGCTTCATGACCTGGGCTCTGTGTGTGTGTGTGTGTGTGTGTGTGTGTATCTGAAGAGAGAAACGGTTTGGGGCTGGGTGGGTAGAGAATCTAGGAGTTGGGAGAGGGAAAGAATGATCAAACTATATATACTGGATGAAATTTTCTATTTTAAAAAAGATATGCAGGCAAAACACCCCCCCACACACACAAAGGCACAAAATAATGAAGTATTTTTTTTAAACCACAAAACAGAAAAAAAAAAGAAAAATTTACGGTGTGGCCATGAAAATATTCACTACAATGGCCTTTATGGAGATGAATACTAAATTTTTGAAACAACTCTGATGGGAATCACATGGCACTGAAAATTATGAGGATTATATTGTCTGTGTGTGAGAGGGAGAGAGAAAACTTTGATTTTTCAAGAGATAAATGAACAATATACAGACCAAAAAACACGTATCTGTACTATTGATAATCTTTCATTTCACCAATTCATTTAACAAATACTGGATGCCTACTATTTGCTAGGTGATATTCTAGATGGACATATCACATTTTGGTTTTCAGAGCCTACTTTTCTGTGAAAGCTAAAATAGACATAATAAACAAATTACACAGGACTTAAGAGGTTAAGTGCCAATTAAATACAAAACTGGGAGAGATGAGGCACAAATGGGCTATCTGGGGGCCGAATGTGATTTTGAATTGCCTGACTGAAAAGCTGACCTTTCGGAATAGACATGAATTGTCACAACATTCCCTCCCTCCTTCTCTCTCTCTCTCTCTCTTTTTCAAGACAGGATTTCTCTGTACAGCACTGGCTGTCCTGGAACTTGCTCTGTAAACCATCCTCTCTGTCTCCCACAGGGATTAAAGGTGTGTGCCACCACACCACTCTCACCACATCTCTCTGCAATGTTATAAAGCACCAGTTAATAAGGCACTTATTAACACTCTGTGCTGCACCCCTAGGACCCTTACAGCTAAAGGAGAACTGACTCCTACAAGTTGTCCTCTGACCTCACTTACATACACACACTGAACTTAAAAATGGTTGAGACAAAATTTCTCTATGTACTCCTGGCTACACTGTAGCTTACTGTGCAGACCAGGCTAGCCTTGAACCCAAAAGACTCACCTGCCTCCCAGAGTGCTGAGATTAAGGCATGTACCTCTAGGCCCAGATGGGACAAAACCCATGCCTGGTATGTGAAAAAAAAAAAAAAAAACAAACAAACCACAAGCCCAAAACAACCAAACAACAAACCCTACGGTGGGTAGCTCATGCCTACAATTTCAGCACTCTGAGAGCCTGAGGCAGGAAATGAGTCTGAGGGCAACCAGGGTTATACAGACCAGGAGGGAGGGAGAAAAAAGGAAAAAAACAAACAAGCAAGCCTGGTCCCAACATCCATATTGAAAAATTCACAAATGTGTGTAACTCCTGTGCTAGGAAATCAGACACCTATGGTCTTCTTGAACACCATATGCACATACCCACATACAGATATACATAAAAAACAATAATTATCATCATTATGGTACACCCTTTGTGATGACTATTTTTGGTTGTCAACTTGACTATATATGGAATTAATTAAAACCCAAGAAGCTAGGTACACCTGTGAGGGATTTTTTCTAAATTAAGTCATCCGAATTGTGAAGATCCACCTTATGGGCCACACCTTCTGGTGGCAGCAAATATAAAGGACATGGAAGAAAGAAGCTTGCTTTCTTTGTCTGCCTGCCCTCAATCTCAATGGCAAGTCCATTCCTTCACGGGCACTTTACACCAGTTGAGACATCCAGCCTCATGGACAGAACTACTGGGTTCTTGAACTTTCCATTAGTAAACAGCCATTGTTGAATTAGCTGGACCACAGCCAATCAGTCACTCCAATAAACTCCCTTTATATCTATCTATCTACCTATCTATAAATAGATATAGACAGATCTATCCGTTCTAGAGAATCCTAACATACCCTTATAGTCATTAACATAAATTTTTAAAATTATTTTATTTTCATTATGTGTATATTTGTGTGTCTCTGTGTGGCATTGTGTATGCAAGTACAGTGTCTGATGAGGACATGACAGCCCCTGGAGATGGAGGTTTCAGGGAGCTGTGAAGCCTCCTGACATGGTTGTTGGGAACTAAACTCAGGTCCTTTGCAAGAGCAATGGATATTCTTAACAGCTGAGCCATCTCTCCAGCCCCCATCTGTATCTTTTTGAAGTTGCACATTAAGGCAAACAGTTTGTAGGAAGCTAAAGACATAGTTTAGGGGTTAAGAACACAGGTGTACACAGATAAACCCTGTCTCAAAAAATAAAACAAAAACAAATATTTGTTGTTCTTGAAGAGGACCCACAGTGCTTCACATCTACAGTGTAACTCAGTTCTTCTGACCTTCATGGACACACAAGGTGTAGACATACACACTGATGAAATACCCACATGAAACAAAAAATAAATAAATCTAATTTAAAATATGCCAGTCAGAGGTGGTAGAATTCACCTTTAATCTCAGCACTGGGTAGGCAGAGACAAGTGGATCTCTGTGAGGTCTACAGAGCTAATTCCAGGACATCCAGCTACACAACCAAACCCTGTTTCCAAAAGCAAACAAAAAAAGAAAATACCAGGAAAAAAAGTTTGTAACCTTTCTTATGATACACAATAAACCACTATGTAATTAAATCGTTAACATGGCTGGACATGGTGGAGCACACCTTTAATTCCATCATTAAGAAGGCAGAGGCAGGCAGATCTCTGGTCTACATAAGATCCAAGGTTGCCAGGGCTACATAGAGAAATCCTGTCTCCCCCTGCCACCTCTCCAAAAATAAAGTGTCAATCATGTCAATCACGCCCCTATTGTATTGGACACTTTAGGTTGCTTCTAATATTTATAATTAGAATCAATGCACACAGAGATTCATGTTAGTCTTTATTTTTTGAGAGGTGGCAGGGGGAGATTTACTTTTCCTGAGACATTACTGTTTTACTTTACACTCCAATGTACCATTTGAGGTTTAGCTTTCCCTCATTTCAGTAATGTCAACATAATTTTAATGAATCCTGGATACCCAATTTATTAAACTACCATAATTTAGGAGCTTTTAGTTTTTTTCCCTATTACAGCACTGTAGTGCTTTAAGCTTTGTTTACTTATTAGGAAACACTCTTAGTTTTGTGACTCTCGCTAATGTAGTTTTCCTGAAAAGCTATTATTTTAAATGTTATCAACAGGTGTAGTGATTTAATGGCAAATAAAGCATATTTTTTTTTCAAAAAGTTTTTGCTTTTCAAGATAGGGTTTCTCTGTGTAGCTCTGGCTGTCCTGGAACTTGCTCTGTAGACCAGACTGACCTCGACCTCACAGACATCCACCTGTCTCTGCCTCTCCAGTGCTGGGATTACAGGCATGCGCCACCAAGCACAGCTCCTGGCAATGATTTAAAAATAAACTGGGTACTGAGTAAAGTGACTTAGTCCTGTAATCCTAACCTCTGCTGTTTGAGGTCAGCCTGGGCTATAGTGTAAACCTGTCTCAAAAAAAGAAAAAAAGATGTAAGATGTGATGGTGCATGACTGTAATTCCACCATTGTGTAGGCTGAGGTAAAATAGTTTTAAGAAAGCCTTGGCTATGTATCAACACCTCCCCCTCCTCTAAAAAAAAGACAAAGAAATGAAAGCCCACCCCAGAAACAGTTGAAGATAGGGAAAGAAAGGTATTAGAATCCAATCTTTTTCTATTTTAAGTGCAGGTATTAAATGTTCCCCTTCCTCTACTTCCAAAGCAGTCAGTGGCTTTTTGTCCTCTTCACAGCCATTTGTCCCTCTAAATCTTACCTTTTCTCAGGTTGGAATCCAGGAAACATTTTTCCTCCAGCCTTTAATTACAGTGACACTCTGAAGGCCAAGACAGGATGATTCCCAGGTTTCCTGCCAGCATGGGCTACACATAGTTCCTGGACAACCTGGGCTATATAATGAGGCCCTGTCTCCAAAAACAAACAAAAAACTGGGTATTCTAGGCCACTCCTTTAGTCCCAGCACTGAGGGGGCAGAAGTAGGTGGATTTGAGTTCCAGACCTGAGTTTTCCAAGTCAGCTATACCTACACAGTGTAATTCTGTCCTTAAAAAAAAAAAGAGAAAAATATTCTAAACCATTTATTTCAAAGGAGGTTGTATTTTGGCTTTGGAAAGTATATTCTGGAAAAATAAGTTTATTCTGGGGCTGGCAGAGATGGGAGAGAATAAAGAGGATGAAGGGGAAGAGCAGCCATCTTTATGTACTATAAACATGTATGAAATTGTCAAAGAATTTTTTTTAAAAAAGTGCACTCTACAAATTAAGATAACATATTTAGTGTTCATTAAAATCCAGGCAACAAGATGAATGAGAATGGGATGATGCACACCTTCATTCCCAGGCCCCACTCAGGAGGCATCTTAGCCCACTCCTTTAGTCCCAGCACTGAGGAGACAGAAAAGTAGGTGGGTCTCTGTGAGAGAGGCCAACTTGGTCTACATGGTGAGTTCTAGGCCAGGCCATTTAGAAATTGAGACCCTGTCTCAAAAAAAAAAAAATTCCAGGCAATGTTCTACACGTACATTATTTTATTAGTGCCCCCAGCTGTTATTATTTTGAATGAAAACAGAAACCTAAAAAATACTTTACCCACACAAGGCCACACCAGTGTAAGAAATGGAACCTAGATCTGTTGACCTCTAAAACTCAAAACCATTCCGCAGCAAAGCCTTAAATTCAATTTAAACTCCAACAAATTCACTGACTACGTCACCTAACTTGTGATGTAGTGACAAGTTTTATATATATAAAACATATATATATAAAATGGGAGTGAATAGCAGTTAGTGACCTTAAAGGCCTGGTTAACTTTAAGGCCTAAGTGAGATACTACTACAAAGCATTTAGCTGTCATTCTGGAATAGACAAAGCACTTGTTCCTGCAGGAAACTACCATTTCTAGTTCCACTTATGGAGCAGGAATGTTAAACAAATGTCCTCTCAGGAGGCAGAGGCACTCTGTAGAACAGGCTGGCCTCAAACTCAAGAGATTGGCCTGCTTCTGCCATCACACCTGGCCATGAAAAACTTCTAATAACCAAAATGCCCACGTTTATGTTTTGAATAAAGATCCCCACAATCTGTCCCTTTCTTGTAGTATTTTCCCAAAGTTTGCATTTGCCAATGAATGTAAGGTAGTACTGTCTAAAGCACCTGAGCTACCACCGTATTCACAGTTGAGTACCAGGCACTCAAGACATACTTCCTACCACCAACTGCAGCAATGTAATTTCACGATATATGCAGAAATAAACTTAGGAACCCCTAACTCTTGGCCTTCAGAAGGAGATCAGCAGCAAGAATTTCTGTTCACTTATGTGTCCTAAGATTACCCATGATGAAAAGGACTGTTGAGAGTGTATGTGTTGATTAGAAAGACTGTAGCTACTGTGTGCGATACAACTGCACACGTGTTTAGTACAGGACTACGTTAGTACAGGCATCTGAGAGCTAAGTCAAGGATCAAGGATCCCTCAGTATTTAGAAGAGTCAAATTACTAAGTGGAAAACGCTGGAGAAATACAATGTGAATTTACCAGGCTGAAATGGCCGCCCGGTGGGCCACCGTGAAAGCTGTAAAATACAAACATGGTAAAGGCTGCTACTGAGGTTTTTTTTTAAGGACTTTTAATTTAATAACAACAAAGTTGTACAAACATAAATTTAAGCACTATCTCCAATTAGAGCAGCCAGATTTGGGGGGAAAAAACTCACACAGCTCAGTCTCATTTTAAGATTAAGAAAAAATTTCGCTTAAATAACATGAAAAGTCCACCAAAATTTGTTGTCAAATTGAAGTCCGCATTCAACTGAGCATCTTGCACTTTACCTGGTAACTCTAACTCCTACACCTACCTTGACTTCGATTTGAGCACAGCAAAGTGTCTGTCTCCCAATCCTCTCTAACCCCGACTTCTGTTAAAAACACAAAGAAAGGTGTCAGCTTACAGTAAGACTTCCACAAAGTGAAAAAGTAAAGCCATAAATCTAAGTTTAACTTGGAAAAGCTTAAGCAGCAAGAGGTTTGGAAAAAAGGCGCGCGCGCTTGAGAGCGCGAAGATGGGGTGGAGGTGTTTCATGAACTTAGCTCCAAAATGCCAAAGGGGTCTGAACTAGCAAACTTCAAGCTTAAAAGTTGTTTTCACAAAGAAACATAGCTCCAGGGGCCCCACTGGCCCTCTCGGAATTAATGGCCTCGCGGGGCTGAGGAGGAGGAGGAGGAGGAGCGTCCGACAAAGCAAAGCGCCACCTCCTCCAACCACGACTTCAGGGCTTTCGCATAATAGACCCCACACCCTCCGGCCCAGGGCGGTTCAAAAGCCACCAACTTATGGTCGCTTTGGGAATGAGTAGTACAAAAGAGCCGGGCAGGAAAGCAAGAAAGGCATGGGCTTAAGTCCCGCGCGTGGAGCGGCGAGCGTGCCGGACCCCACGGGTGGGCTGCGAAGGCCGTACGCGGAGGGGGAAAGGCCTCACGGGGCCTTCGAACCCACATCCTCTGTCCAAACTCAGCCTCGCCCTAGCCCCTTCCTTCGCGGATCGTCGCAGGAAGCCCCACTGCCCTCCCAAATAAGCACCGAGCCGTCCCTAAACTCACCCTCTGCCCACAGTTCTTTGCTCAGAGTAACGGCGACGCTGCACGGCCTCCACCGTCCCGAGAAAAGAGCGCGCGACCGCCGGAAACGAGCCGACGGAGCTCGGTGCCTCCCAAGGGGGTCAATGTTGGATTCCCGATTGGCTACGTGAACTGCCAATCAAAGTTTATCTCCAGAGGAAGACTCATTTGTCCGCCATTTCTTAGATTCTATTGGCTACCAACTGTCAAAGCCTTGGGTTCGTGTGAACGACAGATGGGGGACAAAGAGCGAGGCTTTGTACCTTCTGCGCATGCACGAGAGGCGCTGCGTGAGAGACGGAAAAGGAAGGGGGAGGGGAGGTAGCTTTGGACGGTAGGAGGTCGGAAGGAAAGACTAACCGGCCCACGAAAGGACTGAAAGACCTAGTGGTGGGAGGAGGAAAGGAGAGAACTAGTGAGAGAGGAAAAGTGGAGAGAAAAGGGAGAAAATGCGCGTGTAGGCGTGCGCTGAGAGTTTGTGCACTGCGCCTGTGCAAAAATCAAGAGTAACAATGTCATTGTATTCGGTGTGGCAGAGCTAGCTGTTTGCTACTGGAAAAAAAAGTGCCCCGCCATGTTTCTTTTTTCACACTTCCTCAAAGCTTGTACCCTAACACTATGTCCCATTTTAGCTTCCTTTCCCAGTGCTGAGTATATTTGGGAAGTGCAACTGAAATGGTATTGATTATAGAAAGGGGCAGGAGGTTAAGCGATTTTGACACTTTAATCTCTGTGCGATTACCCAGAACTGTAGCCAGCACTATTTCCATGGTAACCAGAGAACCCGATAGGCCAGACATCTGTAAGGTTCCCATCGCGGAGAGATTCAACAGGTTGGTCGGCAGTGCTGGAGCCAGTATGTTGGAGGTCTTCACATCAGACCTCCACTATATCCCATAGAAAGCCTGTCAAGTAATAATAATCTTCGTTGCTAGGCGGTTAACCGAGGATTACAAGCTTTAATTGATAGGCACCAGTAGTTAATTCCTACTAATTAATTTGTACTCTGGATGGCAGATTATCCAAGCAGGTACTACTTACCTTACACGGGAACAATGATCCAGACCTGGGTTGTCTGGAAGGTTCTGTGGCACCGTTCAATACGGTAGAGATTAGCCATATTCTACACCACCCCGCTGTGTGTGTATGTCAACATATGGCTACTATATATTGGGTATATTTAGCCCAATGGTTCCCAAACTCTGAGAGAAAAAAATAACACATGTATTGCGAAAAAAGAAAATGAATTCCTACTCATGTGGGAAAAAAGTCGAACAATGCTCAACAGTACAAAAAGTCTCACCCTTTTTACTACTCTCCTATACCCACTACCCAATTCTGACAGCTGCTTTCTGTGTATGACTGTCCCAGTCAAAAGGAAATTAGTATGCCTTTAATACCTGCACTCAGGAGGCTGAGAAAGGGGTTCACCCAGGAGGCCATCTGGTCTACATAGTGAGGACCAGGCCATCCAGTGCAGAAGACAAGACTCTGTCTCGACACATAGTCACACAAAACTACATACACATGTGTATGTATGTATGATTTAAAAGATAGATATACTTTTCTAAACTAAGACTTTCTGTTTTTAAAAAAGATTTATTGGGGTCTGGAGTAATGGCCCAGCAGTTAAGAATACTGGCTGCCAGAGGACTAGAGTACCTACCCCAGCACGCACTGGTGGCTGCCAACTGTCTGTATCTGACGCCCTCTTCTGGCTTCTGTGGGCACTGCATGCATATAGTTGTTGCACAGCCATATACATAAAATGAGAGAAGTCATATACATAAAGTGAAAGAATAAACAACAGAAGGTTTATTTCTATTTTGTGTGTGTGTGTTTTGCCGGCATGTATGTAAGTTTGCCATCTCTGCAGTGTCCAAGGAGGACAGAAGACAGTGGATCCCCTAGAACTGGAGTTACAGATAGTTGTGAGCCACCATGTAGGTCAAGGAACCCAACCCAGGTCCTGTAAAGGAGCAGTCGGTGCTCTTAACCTCTGAGCCATCTTTGAGGTGGCAGATTTTCCTTTGTTATTAATTTATTGTTTTTAATTGAGCTATCCCTTCCCCCTCCCCGCTCTCCTTATTTCCTCCAAAATGCCAATTTTCTAAACCACGATCTTTTTTTTGGGGGGGGGGGAACATAACACAGGGGCTGGAAAGATGGCTTCGGAGTGAAGAGCACTGACTGTTCTTGCAGATAACCTGGTTCTGTTCCCAGCACACACATGGCAGCTCACAACTATTTGTAACTCCAGTTCCAGGAGATCTAACACCTTTCCTGACTTCCTGCATGCTTGTGATGAACAACATACATACACTCAGGCATAGCCCATCACATAGGTGGGATGGCCACACCTTTGATCCCTGCACTTAGGAGGCAGTGTTGGGATCAAAGCTGTGATCCCATTTTCTGTGAGTTCGAGGCCAGCCTTGTCTACAGAGCAAGTTTAAAGACAGTCAGGGCTACACAAAGAAACCTTGTCTCATAAAACAAACAAACAAATAACAAAAAAAAACTCAGGTGAAAACACACACACAAACAAAACTTAATAAAAACAAATATTTTTAAAAAATACTTTAACAGTATTGCATGCCCTTAATTTTAGCACTCAGAAGGGGGAGGGAGAGGCAGGTAGAGTTGTGAGTTTGGGACCAGTCTGATTTACAGAGTGAGTTCCAGGACAGCCAGGGCTACACAGAGAAACCTTGTCTCAGAAACAAAATCAGTGTTAGCAAAGCCGGGCATGCCAGTAGTGCTCACCTGCAATCTCAGCACTCGAGACTGAGCAAGGAAACTCTTCAGTGTGAGGCTAGACCAGGCTACATAATAAAACTGGATTTTTTGTTTGTTTTTGTTGTTGTTTTGATTTTTTAAAAAAGCTGGGTTTGGTGGCTCATGTCTTTAATCGGAGCTTTTACTCGGGAGGCAGAGGCAGGAGGATCTCTGCGAGTTTGAGGCCAGTCCGGTCTACATAGCAAGGCATTCTCAACAGCAACAACAACAAAACAAAGCAAAAAGTCAGGACCAGTAAGATAACTTAGCAGGTAAAGGCACTCTACTATCCTGACAACTTGAGTTCAAGCCCCACGACCCACAAGGTGGAATGGGAGAATCAACTCCTTCATGTTGTCCTCTGACCTCCACACACGTGTTGTGGCATGTGCACATATATAAATACATATATACATACAAATACATAAAAAATAGAAAAATTACTTATTGTATGTGGTGTGTGCCACATGGAATTATAGGTAGTTATAAGCTGCCCAATTTGGATGTCAGGAACCAAACTTGGGTCCTACAGGAGAACAGGAAATTAATTCTCTTCACCATTGAGCCATCCTCTAGTCACAGAAAATTTCTTTAGAAAAGACAGGCGGTGGTGGCGCACACCTTTAATCCCAGCACTCGGGAGGCAGAGGCAGGTGGATCTCTGTGAGTTCGAGGCCAGCCTGGTGTACAAGAGCTCGTTCCAGGACAGGTTTCAAAGCTACAGAGAAACCCTGTCTCGAAAAACCAAAAAAGAAAAAAAGAAAAGGAAAGAAAGAAAATAAGAGAAAGAAAAAGAAAAAAGAAAAGACAGTCTACGTTGCATATGCTAGACTCTAGCCCTTCTTGCCTCAGCCTCCTGAGTACGCGAGACTACAGGCCTATGTTATCTGGCTTATTTAGCTGTCTTGCCATATAGAAAGTGACCTACTAGAACTTTTCTTTTTGGGGAATAGGGGTAAGACACAGTCTCACTATGTAGCCCAGTTTGGCATCATATTCTCCATCCTCCTGGCTTGGCCTGCACCACCACCTCCAATTTCTAGTTCATTTTAATGAAGTTAATTTTAGCCCTATATTGCTAGTATATCATTCCATAGACCTATAATCCCAGCACTAGAGATGCTAAGGCAGTAGGATGGAGAGTTTGAGACCATGGTTGTCAAGGTGACTCAGTGAGTAAAGGTGTCTGCTGTCAAGCCTTTTAACCTGAGTTTGACCCCTAGAACTGAGGAGAAATGAAAACAGACTCCCACAGGTTGTCCTCTATCCACAGTGGCACATGAATGTTCCCCACATACACACATAAATTAATATTGCAACTGGAGACATAGCTCAGTGGGTGAGACATAGCACTGATTATTCTTGAAGAGGACCTGGAATGTGCGTCCCAGCACTCAGTTATGGTTCACAACCATCTACAACTCCAGTTCTAAGGGTATATGATGCCCCCTTATGGTCTTTGCAGGTACTGCATGAAGGTAGCACACTACAGGCAACTGATGAGTTTGAGGCCAGCTGGTCTACTGAGTGAGTTCCAGGACAGCCAGAGCTGCACAGAAAAACCCTGTCTCAAAAAGTCAAAACAGTAAAAACAGACAGACAGGCAGGTATATAAACAAACAAACAAACAAATAAATAAATGCCTTAGCTCAACACACACATACTTATACATCAATAAACATAATTAAAAATATATCGGGTTATGGTGGTACAAGCTTTTAATTCTAGCCCTTGAAAAGCAGAGGCAGGAGGATCTCTGTGTTTGAGGCCAATCTGGTCTGCATAGCAAGTTCCAGGCCAACTAGAACTACATAGTGAGAAATGTCCCAACAACAAAAAGAGCCTCCAATAACTCATTGCAGAGCAAGTGTTTCCCAGATAAAAAGTCTCTAGGTTTGATACCCAGTGTCAAAAGTGCAAATAAGCCGGGCAGTGGTGGCACACCTTTAATCCCAGCACTCAGGAGGCAGGCGGATCTCTGGGGGTTCGAGGCCAGCTTGGTCTACAAGAGCTAGTTCCAGGACAGGCTCCAAAGCTACAGAGAAACCCTATCTCAAAAAAAAATGCAAATGAAAGAATTACCATATTCTTTGTAGCCTTTTACTTTTGTGTGGGCATTGGGGGTGCAAGCATGGTATGGGTGTGGAGATCAAAGGACAATTGTCTGAAGTCAATTCTCTCCTTCTACCATGTGAGTTCCAGGGATCAAACTTAGGTCATCAGGCTTGGCAGCAATTACCTTTACCTGCTGAGTCATATTGCTGGCTCTGTTTGTTTGTTTGTTTTGTTTTAAGATTTATTTATTTATTGTGTAAATTTATTTATTTGTGCTCTT